TTGATGTGTTTAATGTTTAGTTTGAGCACAAGTCTGAAAAGATATAGGAAAAAACAAACCCTTGCTCTCTTACACAGTCACTCAACACTTCTGTCACTAGATTGGGGGTGTGGTCCTCATGCACCCAGCAATCCATTCTCCCATGGACACCAGCTGGGTATCTTCTAATCACTTCAGTTCTGACACTCTGGAGAGAGGATCAAATTCCATAGGTTAAAGGCTTAGTACCACAAGAGAGCCACCACTTGGGACTCCAATGACAAGTACCAGGAGGTCAACTATACTTCTGACCAACTGACTATAAATTGGGGCTCCTACTACTCCCTCCTTGGTTTGAGTTAATTTGCTAGAGTGGCTCACAGCATTTAGAGAAACAAGTATGAATGGCAAGAAGAAGTTATATATCGAAGTTTGGAAGGGTCCCAGGCTTAGAAGTTTCTATTCCCGTGCAGTCAGGACACACTACTCTCCAAAACTTGGAAATGTTCACCAATTCAGAAGCTCACCAAACCCCTTGGGTCAGGGATTTTTGTGGAGGCTTCATTATTCAAGTATGATCAATCTTTAACTCTCCCTGTCTCCTCTTCAGAGAACAGAAGTTAAAGCAGAAATCTCTAAGCTTATGATCACGACTGGGGCATTTTGTGACCGGACTCCACCAAGAGTCCATCTCATTAGTACAAAAGATGCTCTTATTACTCAGGAAATCCCAGAGCATGTAGAAGCTCTGTTTCAGGAATTAGGATCAAAGACCAAATGTTAGAATGAAAGATTCCCCTGCACCCTTATCTAAAGAGTCCTGTCTTTAGGAGAGGGCAGGGGGCAGAGGCCAAACAAGGGAACAAAAGGTTCTCCTACCACCCAGGCAATTATAAGGATTTTAGGAGCTCTGTGCCAAGGACCGGGGACAGAGACCATATTACATCATTTTACAATAAGGCATTAGTGGGAAATCTACAGAGACTGCGGAACCCCTGAGGTTTAGAGATGCAGAGGGAGGCAGGATCAGAGGAAGGTCATGGAGATGACAGGTAAAACTTGAGAGTTTATTAAATTGTGAGGATGAGGACAGGTTCTTAGGTGAGGTCGGAAGAATTAAGTAGAGAAGGTGGGAAAATAAGGGAACCTCAGTGGCATGAAGTCAGAGGAGATTTTTAGGAAAGGAACAATGGACAGTATCAAGAGGCTGTGTGGTGTGAGGATGAGGCCTCTAGCTCAGTGGGCCCCTCTGAGGGCACTGAGGTTGAAGGAGAGAGCAAGTAATCAGGAATGAAAACACTGGCCCATGGCCCCTGCTTAACAAGGCTAGTGATCCAGGGAGGGAGAGAAGCTTTAAGAATAGCAACAGCTAGAAAAGGTCTTTTGCCTTCATGTTTGGTGCTCTTTCTTTTTCCTTTAAAGAAAGAGTATATCAACATGATGGCTAGCAGTGAGAAAAAGATTGAGCAGATGAGAACATATTAAAGTAACAGAGAGAAGGGGGATAAACAATGAAGCCAACAGGAGGGGCTGGTATGAAAATTCTAAGTGGCAGGGCTGGGAGTATACCTCAATGGTACAATGTGTGTCCAGCCCCTCAGTTCAATTCCCAGTCCTATTTTTAATTTTTATTTTTTGATACCAGAGGCACTTAATCACAGAGCCATAACCCCAGCCCTTTTTTATTTTTTGAGACAGGGTCTCACTAAGTTGCRAAGGGTCTTGCTATATTGCTGAAGTTGGTCTCGAACTTGCAATCCTCCTGCCTCAGCCTCCCAAGTCACTGGAATTATAGGCATCCACTATTACACCCAGCCTTCCAAATGCTATTTTTTTGAAAGAATTTTAATATTTATTTTTCAGATTTCGGCGGACACAACATCTTTGTTTGTATGTGGTGCTGAGGACCGAACCCGGGCCGCACGCATGCCAGGTGAGCACGCCACCGCTTAAGCCACATCCCAAGCCCCCGAATGCTATTTTAAAAGAAGATTATAAATGAAAATCTTAGCCTTGGAGAAGAGGAAGGACAACTCTTTCTAGAATAAAAGAAGGAAGACAGGTCATGTACAGTGGTGCACATTGGTCATTTTAGCTACTCTGGAGGCTGAGGCAGGGGGATCAATAGCTTGAGGCCAGCCTGGGCAACCTAACAAGAGTGTGTAGTTCAGTGGTAGAGCACTTGAGCAAGGCCATAGATTCAATCTCCTGTACCATAAAAGAAAAGAAAAAAAGTCAAGAAGGAAGACAGAATCACTAGAAGTCATTTCAATAGGATAGGAAGTACACATAGCCTGACTTTCAGTGAAATACAAAGCAATATCTACAGTACAAGATAACAAATTTAGAGTTTATACAATGAGGAAAGAATCAGAATGGATACTATGAAAATTAGTATAGAGTAACAATTAGAAAATTTTTTATTTTTTTTTAGTCATACATGACAGCAGAATGTATTTTGACATAAAATACATACATGGAATGTACATACTTCACTCATATTGTCTATTCTATTCTGCTGCCCTTCCTATCCTCCCTACTCCTCCCCTCCTCTCCCATCCTTTCTCTCTATCCAGTCTAATGTGACACACTCTTAAGAAAATTTTTTAATTCCAGGAAGTTCTGAAGAATATGGAAAGGCAACTGTTATCTATGAACTTAACTATTTAATTAATTAACTTAAACTTCCTATTTAAGTAAGTGAAGTAGAAAAAAATAAACAGTAAGTGCTGGAGGTATAAGGTGTTTGCCTTGCATGCACAAGACCCTGGGTTTGATTCTTAGCACCAAAGAAAATAAACAAACAAGGGTGAAAGAAATACTGATGTTAAAATTTTTAGAAAACAAAATAAGCAATAAAATACTCTTCATCTTCAATCAAAAGCCTATTAGACTGGGCTCGGGTTGTGGCTCAGTGGTAGAGTGCTTGCCTAGCATGAATGAGGCACTGGGTTGGATACCCAACACCACATAAAAAAACTAAATAAAGAAAAGTACAAATCACAAATTTTAAAAAAGCCTATTAGACACTTTGCATTTTCTTTTTTTTTTTATTGTTGGTCGTTCAAAACATTACATAGTTCTTAATACATCATATTTCACAGTTTGATTCAAGTGGGTTATGAACTCCCAATTTTACCCCGTATACAGATTGCAGTATCACATCAGTTACCCTTCCATTGATTGACAAATTGCCTTTCTAGTGTCTGATGCATTCTGCTGTCTGTCCTATTCTCTACTATCCCCCCTCCCCTCCCCTCCCCTCCCCTTTTCTCTCTCTACCCCTTCTACTGTAAATCATTTCTTCGATTTGTATTATCTTGTCTTACCCCTCCTTTCCTCTTATATGTCATTTTGTATTTTCTTATCTATCACTTACTCAAAAAATATGTTCATGGTTTCCAGTGCCTTGGGAAGCTGAGGTAGGAGGATTGCAAGTTCAAAGCCAGCCTTAGGAATGGTAAGGTGCTAAGCAAATCAGTGAGACCCTGTCTCTAAATACAAAATAGGGCTGGAGATGTAGCTAAGTGGTTGAGTGACCCTGAGTTCAATCCCTGGTACACCTCCCACCAAAAAAAAAAAAAAATGTTCATTGTTCATAGTTTTTTAATATCATCTTTTTCTCAGTATGGGGAATTGAACCCAGAGTCTCACACATACTAGGCAAGCACTCTATCTACTGAGCTACATTCTCAGTCCTTTCAGTCCTTTATAAAATCTTATTTTGAAACAGGGTCAAGATCCTCCTGAATCAGCCTCCCAAGTAGCTGGGATTGCAGGCATGCACTGCCACACTTAGTTAAAATGATCTAAGTGTGGAGAAATTTCCATTTTAAGCCACTCATTCTGTGGCTCCTGTTATGCCACTTCTAGGAAATTAATATAAGGTCAAACATAAATTACAATACCATATTGAAGGGGTTCATAACATGGTCTGAAATAAACATCCATTCACCTAATAATAATTCACCAGTCTTAATAAATTTTGACATTTGCCTAAATTCACTTCAGGTCTTTTTTTCAAAGGTATAAAATATTTCAAATATAGTTGCAATCTTATATTATCTTTTTTAAATAAATGTTTATTTTTTAGTTATAGGTGGACACAATATTTTATCTGTATGTGGTTCTGAGGATTGAACCAAATCCCATAACCCCAGCCCTCCCATATTCTCTTTGCCAGACTCTTTTCTCCTTCTTCCTCCTCAGACACAGGCACTGATAAAAGAAGAGTATATCATATCCAAATGTTTATGTTTAAATGCCAGTTTATACACAAACAATATGCAGTAACACTTGATGTCCTTAACTTTTTCATCCATAGGAAATGGTTATACATCTATTTTTACTTTTTTTTTTTACTTACCATATTTTTGTGACTTGTTTACACTGATAGATGCAATTTTAGTTCATTGGTTTTAACAGCTAAAAACAATTTTTAATTTTCCACTAATGCCTATCAGTAGACATGCAGGTTATTCTTCAACTTGTACTCTAATAAATGATGCTACTACCATTAACTTATCTTGCACATATACCCTATACATAACCTAAAGTTTTCTTAATACTAGTTTTTTAGTATAGTCCTTAAAAAGGAAATACTGGGTGTTCTATCTTTCCAATGCCTATTTCCTTAGGTAAATAACCTTTGTTATTGTATAAGAATATTCCCATAATTAACTAAAGGTTCTAAGTAAAGACAACTTTAAGGTATTTTCCATAGGAAAGGATTACATTCTATATTAGATTGTTTTATTTATTTATTTATTTGGTACTAGGGGTTGAACATTCAGCGACACTTTACCACTGAGCTATCACCCCAGTTCTTTTAATTTTTTTATTTTGACATAGTATAAGCTCCTGAGACTGGCCTCAAACTTGTGAATCCTCCTATGTCAATAAGATTACAGGCATGTACTACTATACCCAGCTCCTGTTTTATTTTTAAAGTCATCCTGGAATGTGTAATTAGCAAAGACATTTGGAATAAAAAGCAACATACCTCATTAATGAGAAATTACCTGGGTAATACCTTTAGACGACATAATTGCTTGATTGTAGAATATGCGGCCAAAGTGGTCTCGGTCTGGAAACACATCAGCTTGTCGGGGTAAGTTGGCTCCTCCTGAGTCCACTGAATAAGGAAAATAAGATCAATAAGTGCATCTCCATCAGCAAAATATCTATGCACAGCAGATTTGTATGAATGATAGCATCAGTTCTTAATCACAAAAAAACCCTTTCCCTATCTTTCCAAACTGTCCTAGAGTCTTTATCACCAATCTCCCAACACAGCCAAAATGATTTAGTCTTCCCCAAACCCATTAGGCTTTCCTACTGCTGTGCAAAATTCTACACAAATCGTTTAGCATTCTCTCCTTTGAGGACCCAGAAACTCCAGAAACTCTTAACCAGCTGAGCTAAAAAAGTATCTCTCCCTCTTCTAAACCAATATAGAAACCATCTACAGAATTCATGCGATAATTTATCACATATTGCCCTCTGATATTGATTCCATTGCAGACTGAAGTGGTAGATAAGAATGTCAGCCAAGTTCAAAATGGAGCTTGCTGCTTCATAGCTCTGTGATTACAGGCATGTTTCCTGGCCATTCCATGCATCTGATTTCTTACCCATGAAATGAAAACAATAGTAGCTACTAATTATAGTTTTTATCAGGATGACATGCAAATGTATGCAAGGTGTTTGGTTCAGCACTTACTCTGAATGCACACAGAGAAAAAAAAGTTAGCTAGTCCTATACCATTATTATTGCCTGCAACCATTAAGTCTTATATTGTGATTTAACACATTACATTCTGTCTTCAATTAATTATGAGCTTGCTAAAGCCAGAAATCACACAATACTCTGTGTCCCCTATGGTATCTGGCCCAACACATTCAATTAGCTGGGTCTCATTTGCTACTTTCTTTTTAATATTTTTTAGTTGTTCATAGACCTTATTTATTTATACGAAATGCTGAGAATCGAACCCAGTGCCTCACACATGGCAGGCAAGTGCACTACCACTGAGCCACAGCCACAGCCCATCATTTGCTACTTTTTATATGTGCAAAGCAATTCATATTGCAAGTCTATCAGGTAAATTAACTCCCCCCCCCCAAAAAAAGATAAATACATCAGAACCTGTTCAAAGGCCTGCATAAACCAAAACTATGTGCTGGAGTTTTATTGGACTAAACCAATATCCAGGAAGTGCCTGTTTTAAACTGAAATACCCTTTGATTTATTTTATTTTATTTATTTATCTATTTTTATACTAGGGGTTGAACCCAGAGGTGCTTAACCACTAAGCCATATCCATAGCCCTCAGGGATTCACTAAGTTGCTAAGGGCCTCCCTAAGTTTCTGAGGCTGGCCTTGACCTTGCAATCCTCCTGCCTGAACCTCCCAAATCACTGGGATTACAGACATGCGTCACCATACCTCGCCCCTTTGATTTAAATGTATTTTAATTTCAAATATGATTTTACTTTTGTGGGAAATTAAGTTTATCTTAAATTATATCTGCTCACATTATATAATACTTAAGCATTTACTATAACACCTGGCACTCGAGCTATCCATAAATACCAACCTGCTTTTTTTTTATTTAAACCCTTTATGATTAACAGAAAAACAATATGTATATGAAAAAAATCCAAACATATAGAGAAAAAACTGGCATGCACTAAAATGTTAGCAGAACTATTCCTCAGTAATATTATCATGGTAGTAGTTCTTATTTACTTTTTATCCCAGAGTTCTGAGCAAAGAACATGCATTTTCTTGTTAATTATGGTAGAAATACTTCAGTATTTTTAAGTACCCATTGATGGTGTCATATATACAGTCTCGCCTTTTACCAACTAACAGTAGTGTTTTTACAACTCTTGTGACTTGCCCAGGTAGATGCAGGGGAGCCTGTTTTGCAGCGCAATTTCTTGTGCCCGCAGGTGTTTTTTCACAGTCACTGGGTAGTAGGAACCCCCTTTCACAGTGGCATCATTAGCAACAATCATGCACTCTACTCTGAAAGGCAAAAATTTCATTGGAAAGAGAATATGAGATATGTCTTCAAAATCAAAGGCCAATTACAGCTCACCACAAGACACTCTGATGTAACCTTCAACTTCTATGACCACTAATAATTACTGAACAATCTTATGCCAAAAAGTAAGCTTTATTAGGGTTCACATATTCATTTATAAAATATGAGTACTTCTAACAAGTTCACACACTCATACTTGACTTTTAAAATGTCACCAGTCCCTACATAATTAGTAGAAAATTAACAACCTAAAACACATTTTCTTTCTTTCTTTCTTTTTTTTTTTTTTTACCAGGGATTGAACTCAGGGACACTGAACCACTGAGCCACATCCCCAGCCCTATTTTGTATTTTATTTAGATACAGGGTCTCTCTGATTTGCTTAGTGCCTCACCATTGCTGAGGCTGGCTTTGAACTCGTGATTCTCCTGCCTCAGCTTCCGAGCTGCTAGGATTTACAGGCTCACGCCTATAATCTGTGCCCAGCCTAAAACACATGTTCTAATGGTTCTTCAATGAAAGGGTTCTAACAAGATAATCATAATACTAAGCATAATAATATTAATCCAAGTCTCAAGGGCAAAGAATTCCCTCACAATAAAGCTTCAAATTTTCCTTTTGATAATTTGCAAAAAATGAAAACTGACCTGCCAAGAGTACTAAGATTTTTGTGTGTGTGTTTTCAGAAGTTCCTCAATGTTACAGCCATTTTTTTTTTAAAGCTAAAAGAAGTCTAAAATACATTTATCTTGCTTGAAGACACAATGGATGCAAATTTTAAAACAGTACACAAGTAACAAAAATCTGGGGGGCAAGGGAAGATTGACCTGCCTGGCATTGCCACAGAACCTTAAGATCAGAGGTTCGCTTGAAATCTGAGACAGCAACAGCATGTTTTTTACAAAATTCTACTTTTTAAATATTTAGTGTTGGTTGTTATTTTATGTTCCCTAGAATTCTAAAGAGTAATTCATTGAATCCCTATTGAAAATCAAGAAAAGCAACTGAACATCCAACATATAGTAGGGTTATGCTTTTCCTATTAGTTAGCAGGGCTCCATACAAGATAAACAAGTCTCTTCTCTGAGCATCAGTTTTATTCACTAGATCACATAAAACCTTTTTCTACATTACAAGTAGCATTTTATTTAGAGTGGAATGCAAATTTTTAATAACTTTACCATTAAACATATAAAACTTTCCTCTTTTTTTGGTACCAGGGATTGAACCCAGGGGCACTTTACCACTGAGACACCCCAGCCCTTTTCATATTGTATTTAGAAACAGGGTTTCACTGAGTTGCTTAGGGTCTCACTAAGTTGCTGAGGCTGGTTTGAACTCACAATCCTCCTGCCTCAGTCTCCCGAGCCGCTGGGATTACAGGCATGTACCACTCCAAACATATAAAACTCTGAAGGAAATTTAGGCTTATGGCAGGTTGCTGAGCCATGACTCCACACTGATAGAAAATGTGTTCACACATCCCGGCTCATGGGTGACACACCCAGAAAAGCTTAAGAAGCTCTGATACTACAAGGAAGCCAGGCTGTGAAGTCAGAAAAAGCTCAACTGGCTCTGCCATTTTCTAGATATGTGATTTTGAACAAGAGACATAGTCCACTTTTGCAAATGTATTAAAAGATCACAGACAGGAGCTGGGGTTGTAGCTCACTGGTAGAGTGCTTGCCTAGCACGCGCAAGGCCCTGGGTTTGAACCTCAGCACCACATAAAAATAAATAAATAAAATAAAGGTATTGTGTACAACTTCAACTAAAAAAAATACTTAAAAATTAATAATTTTAGATTTTTAAGTACTATGAACATATAATAAAATAAGGCAATGTTGTTTAATTATTATAATAAGATATCACAAAACAAGGTAAAAGATGCAATCAAACATAGGGCTGGGGACATAGCTCAGTGGTAGAGCTCTTGCCTCAAATGCATGAGGCCCTGGATTCAGTCCCCAGTACCAGAAAAAAAATAATAAAACCAAAACATAAAAACACCAACCAAAAAAAAAACACAAAGATGCAATCAAATATGGTAAATAATATAATAAAACAAGTTAATTGTGGTGGGGGCTATGATAAGATAAAATGGTTGAGGAATAAAAATAACAGCTGCCACCCATATGCACTAGTACTGTCCTAAGGCACATGAGATATCTCATCTTACAGAAACAGGCACAGAGAAATTGGACAACACTAGGCAACTAAAGTGTTATAATAAAAGACTGAGGTGAGAAAAGTAGGGAGGGATCATATCTGACATGGACTTTATAAGCCATGATAAGTCTTATAAAGTCCAGAAAGATGGGATGCTGTACAATTACTCTTTGACTAGTCACTATCTCAGGCAAGCAGTCCTTGAATGAAACTGACTTATAAATAAATCCCATATAAGTTTCCTCATTAAATGTCTTAGTATCTACTTCAGAAATTATAAAGGAACCTGTGATAATGAGAAATACATACTTTGGTGCTCCCCCACTCCATTCCTGCCACAGAACTCCTAAAACCCTTGCAATTTCTGGGTGCCAGGAACAACTTTTGCTGTTCCTAAGTGCCTTTCAATCACACCTGAGTTTATGCTAATGCTATGAACTATGATTTGGATGAGAGTTCCCCAAAGGTCCATGTGTTAAAGGCTTGGTCCCTGAGTGGTAGCACTATTGAGAGGTGATGGAGCCTTTGGGAGATAGGACCTTTTGGGAGGTCCTTATGTCACTGAGGGTGTACCCCAAAGGGTCTTGTGAAACCCTATCCATCCTCTCTCTTCCTGCTCCAATTCAAGATGTGAGCAGTTTGCTCTAGCACATGCTCCCCACCACTGCTATACATAGCCCTCATCAGAACTGAGCTGATGCAAGTGCCATGCTTTGGAACCTCCAGAAATGTGAACCAAAATAAACCTGTCTTTAATTCATAAATAGCCTCTCTCTGATAATCTCATTGTAGTAACATGAAGCAGACTACTAAAGTTAGCATTTTTAGTGCACATGCATTTGACTACATAAGGTCAGATGTGGAATTTTCCATGGAAAATATCATATAAAATTACCTTTGAATTATGTGTATAAGGTGTGGTGTACATGAAACATAAGTGAATCTCACATTTAGGCTTGGTTCCCACCCAAAAAATATCTCATTATATATGCAAATATCCCAAAATCTGGAAAAAAAATCTGCAATCGGAAACACCTCTGTTCCCAAGCATTTCAGAAAGAGAACACTCAATCTTTAATAAAATATAAATACAGTCATGCACCATATAATAATGTCTCAGTTAACAACAGACCACATACACAATGGTGATCCTTTAGGATTACACTGTCTAGCAGCATCATAGAGCCATAGCTCTATGATGTTCACATAACGCATTTCTCAAATCATACCATAGTTTTTAAGCAACACATGACTGTATACACAAGGGGAACAAAATGGAAGAGCATGTTCTAAGGTATTGACAGTCATTACAACGAGAGATATGATAAAGGGCAATTATTCTACTTAATTATGTATTTCCATAACATAGGAATTTAGTTTAATTTTGCATTAAAAATGTCTCCATACTGGGTGAATATTAAGCAAAGAGCCATGGGGAAAACTTGGGAGTAAAAATCAAGGAAGAAGCAACAATGGTAAATGGCTATAGCTGCAGGCATGGATCATGGGGAGAAGATGGAGGAACACACCATAAAGCAACATCTGTGTCAAAGTCAAGTGTGCCAGGCTGAGTCAGACTGAGATCAAAACCATGTTACTCTCTAAGCCTGCATCCTCTGCACAATGGTGAGGACTATGATAGCATCCATGCTCACACAGCTGCCGTGAGGATGAAAACAGGCAATCACCACAATGCCTGGAATAATACCTACATGGTAAATAGGACCACATTCAGAAACATATACAAATAAATTTAACATTGAGGAATCTAGAGTCCCTGAGCCTACAGTGGTTCTCAAACTTAAGCACCCAAGAACTATTAAGCAACATATGTTGCAGGACTTGTTAAAATGCAGACTGCAGGGCCTCACCCCAAGCATTTCTGAATTAGTACTTCCAGGAAGTACTTCCAGGATGCCACCTGCGGGGACTTCCTCATTACCATATAACAGGAAGACTGGAGAATCTGCTTTTTTTCTAATAAGTTCCCAAGTGATGCTGATGCTGCCTGGGGACCAAACCTGAAAAACTATTCCTCTAACAAAATGGTTATCACCCCAGGTGAGCAAGAGATTGCCTAGGGAGCCTTTGAAACTACACGCCAATCCCACACATAGGAATGCTGATTCAGTGGGAGGTCTGAATTGGATCTCAGGAACTTTTGCTGGGGTTTTTTTCCCTTCAATTTTTGTCTCTAAAGCTCCACAAATTAATCTAGTGCAGGTCTGAGTAGGATTATCAGGTCCTAAATTATATAAATAGCACAAAGCTTGCATGCTAATATGCAAAGTGAGTGCTGGATGCCTGCATCTCATCAAAGTCCTCTTCTTCCTGGCTACCATTATTATTGTTGTTGTTGTTGTTGTTCTTGTTGTTGTTACCACCAGGGACTGAACCCAGGGGCGCTCAACAATTGAACCACATCCACATCCCTTATTATTTTTAACTTTGAGACAGGATCTTGTTAAGTTGCTTAGGGCCTTGTTAAGTTGCTAAGGCTGGCTTTGAACTCCTCCTGCCTCAGCCTCCCAAGATGCTGGGATTACAGGTATGTGCCACCGTGCCCAGCTGACCCTCATTACTAAGCTTTAGGTAGAATACTCACCCTGATACTCTTCCAATGCCTGTAATGATGCCACCTGCAGGGRCTTCCTCATTACCATATAACTGGTAACCTGCAAACTGGGATAATTCCAGAAACGGAGACCTGAAAGGAAAAAGAACATTTTTTAATTAGTGTCTATATATATATAAACATATGTGTGTGTATGTAGTTATACATTTTTAAGAAGAGGAAAACTATTTTTTCAAATATGCATATTATACATAAAATCTATAAAAAGAGTTGGGCACAGTGAAACATGACTATAATTCCAGCTACTTCAAAGGCTAAGGCAGGAGGATCACAGTTCAAGGCCAGCCAGGGCAAATTAATTAGACTCTGTCTAAAAAATAAAAAGGGCTCGGAAAGTACCTTAGTGGTAGAATACCCCTGGGTTCAATCCCCAGTACATAGGAAAAAAAAATTCTACAATAGCTCCCCATTTCTCTTAAAGTAAGAACCAAAACCTTTACAATGGCCTACAAGGCCCTCTTAACTCCAACCCCACTTCCTATTAGTCTCCCCTTCATTCCCTCAATGCCAAACACAATGATCTACTGGACATCAGCATACCTAGCATACATCCCACCTCTGGGCCTTAGCCCTGCTTGTTTCCTCTGCCTGCAACATTTGTCCCAGCTATTTATAGGGCTATCTCTTGTCCCTCCTTTAAATCTTTGCTCAAATGTCAACTTCTCAAAGAGGTCTACCCTAACCATCCCACTTAAAACTACAACTTGTCCATCATGGTCTCTCTCTTACTCTGGTCTATCTTTTCTTTTCCCCACAATACTTGTTACCTTCTAGCATAATGTGTAACTTAAAACATTTATTATTTATCTTCTGTCTCCCTCTGCCATAATATAAACTCCAGTAGGGCAAAACTCTTCATTTGTCTTGTTCATTGACGTATTATTAATGTCTAAAACAGTGCCTGACACACAGTAGACTCCCAATAAACCTTTGCTGTTTGAATTTTATAAGAATGAAAATTCAAGCCGGGCATGGTGGCACATGCCTGTAATCTCAGCGGCTTGGGAAGCTGAGGCAGGAGGATCGTGATTTCAAAGTCAGCCTCAGCAACTTGGTGAGGCCTTAAGCAACTCAGTGAGACCCTGTCACTAGATAAAATACAAAAAAAAAAAGGTCTAGGATGTGGCTCAGTGACTAAGTTTCCCTGAATTTAATCCCAGATACCAAAGCAAAAAAAAAAAAAAATTCAAAATCACTTATTTATAACACCGTCTAATAAAGTACCACAGAACAGAGAACACTGTGTCAGCATTGGGTAGGTACCAACCCTGGGTCTATAAGCGTGTCGACTCTTTCTCTGGGTAACAGTTTTCCTCTTGCTGTGTGCAGTGCTCGGGCTTTCTCACTACCTCCTAGAATAAAAACATGATTAAATAGATCAGACCTATATAAGATCTCTAAATCAAATTAATGCCAGGAAAACATATAATGCTCAAGACAAAGCAAGGCACTCTTATTTGTTTTTTTTAATATTTATTTTTTAGTTGTAGTTGGACACAATACCTTTATTTTATTTACTTATTTTTATGTGGTGCTGAGGATTGAACCCAACGTGCTAGGCAAGCGCTCTACCACTGAGCCACAACCCCAGCCCCCATCCCCAAAGCAAGGCACTTTTAAAAAGTTCAATATATCTTGTGAGAAACAGCTAATTTTTCAGTTCAGTCACTCAACTTGCCAGCTACCAATTTTCTGAAGTAATTAAAGAAATAGGATTTTGTTTTGTTTTCAAATCAATCTATCTCTGATCCTAGAGTATATCTTTTACATGTTCTGAATTCACTAGTAATTATAAAAAGTTACTCAGTATTTTCTTTGCAACTCATTCATTGCAAAAACTGCCTCACTGCCACTCTGTTAAATATTTACCACATGTATCTAGCATTATACTAAGTCCTAGATAAAATATGAAAATTCCTGTCTTCGTTTGGATGAGGTAAAAGCATCATTGAGAAATTACTAGCCCAAAAGGCAAGTGAGGACTTATGTAAAAGTGACATTAGTGACCCACAACACTTTAAGTCTGCAAATGGGAGAACTGAACACCTTTACAGCAATTAGAAAATCCCCTTTGGTTAGTCTCTTGACTCAGAAATGGTCTTTGGTATTTCACAACATTACTTACATCTTAATAGACAAAATCACAGTAATTAAAGAGATGCTAGGGTAACCTGACCAGGCTACTTGAGGCCAAAGGGCCCCAACCTCACGTACCCCTCCTGGGCTGAGGCCTTAGTGTCTTGGGAGTATCTATGACCCGCTCTCTGTGAACCAAAGTATCAAGCAGTACCTTAAAATGTTCATTTTCTTTATTTAACATTTATTTTTTAGGTGTAGACGAACACGATGCCTTTATTTTATTTACTTATTTTTATGTGGTGCTGAGGATGGAACCCAGGGCCCCGCCTGTGCTAGGCAAGCGCTCTACCGCTGAGCCACCACCCCAGCCCCTTAAAATGTTCGTTTTCATTGCTGCCCCCAAAATGGTCTCAATATAGTCTCTGTATAATGCAAAACTCAACTATTTAAGAAAGCCATTTCTTTGTTTGCTTGGGTAAGAAAATAAGTTTCTATCTATTTCAAACAGGCTTCCAAATACAACCTTTTTTCCAAACAAGGACTCTTTGCTGTACCTAAAAGGATTTTTTTTTTTTTTCCTGAAGAGGTACATGGCATATTTTTAAGACCAAATCTGTCTTCAGGTTACCAAGAAAATTACATCATACATCTAATCTTCTTTTAAAATGAAATAATCCTGGGAAGGAAAGAATTAGTGCCGTCCCCAACCAGCAAGGGCAGCTAAACTAAGGGTCACTCGAGTGAATTTCCTAAGGTATCAAATAAAACACAGACACACAATTTACCTTTAATTCAAGCCCCGGGACCACTCCTCTGCCCTTGGCCTCAAGCTCCACAAATGGGAGATAGAGGAATGTAATGAGAGGCTGGTGGGAGAGAGCAAGCTCCTTTGGGAGTGGACTTTTATTGGGGGGACTCTGATTCTTTAGAAATTTCCATTCAATAGAGATCAAGAGGGGCAAGGTTACAAGGACAGGTAAGGTAACTCGACCCCTAGGGATGTAGGAAGGCATGCCCAGCATGAAGACACATTTGGTGACTTTCAAGATTGGGGGGTGGGGGGCCATTGTCTACAGAATCACTTTGATGTGGCTAGATCATGGGAAGTGACCCACAGAGCCTCACCAATCAGGAAAGGAAAATGCTGGTCACATGTCCTCCCACAACTTAGTTACAAAATATTGTGATTAAGTCAAATGGCTTTTCTCTTTTCTCCCAAGCACTGGTCAAGACCTTAAGGGATCATATTTAGGGGTCAGGGAGAAGAGGACAAAAGAGGCCTCAAGACACTGAGGCCTCGCCACGGGATGGGTACATGAAGTTGGAGCACTTGGGCCTTCCAAAAGGCAAAGGGGGGAAAAAAAAAGAAAGAAAAGGCAGAGGAAATTCTGCAGAATATGGACACATTTAATATCTTGATTGTAGTTATGGTTCCCTGAGTAAACATACATGTCAAAATGGCTTTAAATTGCATACTCTAATGTAGTACTGTAGCAATTCTACTTCAATGAAGTGTTTAAAAATAAATATTTAAAGAAAAACAAACTCAGACACTGCAAGGAAACCAGGTTAGGGTAAGAAGCAGTGACATAAGAGCCCTTTCAGGGCCTAGCAAGAGAGGGAATGGAAGGCAGATTTGGGTGACAAAAAGATGCTAAAATATGCTTTTAAAAAAAAAAGTACTTAAGCCAATATCATTTTCTTAATTCTGCCTAGAATTTGACCTTTTAATTTGGAGCAACTGGTGAATTTTGGTTTCATTAGGAAGAACCAAATCTTGGGTTAATCTTGATACAGACTTACAGAGCACAGAATGAAGCCCCTCTGCATTTTAACAAGCATAGTAAACTGGGTTTGGTGGCACACACTATAATCCCAGCAGCTTGAGAGGCTGAAGCTGGAGGATCACAAGTTTGAGGCCAGCCTCAGCAAGAACCTGTCTCAAAATAAAAAATATAAAAGGGGGTGGGGATGTGGCCAGGTTCAATTCCCAGTGACAAAATTAATTAATTAAAATAAACAGGCATAGTATATTTGGACCACTGGACTGCACAACACAGGACCTCAGTTTTCCAAAGATTCTTTTTTAAACATTTTGTGTAAATTATCTCCATTCCCATAGACTTGGTGCCAGAAAACATGCTTTCATTAACCTCTCATTTAGATCAAACTCCCACTGCATGTAATTTACTGTTTTGCATTGATTCTCAGATAGGTAATCTGCTCGCATTTTAACATCCCTGAGATCAGAAAGCATTTTACAATTTACAGCATCTTTCTATTGCTGTCTGACAAGGGGCAGTCATGACCTAGCTGTCTGCCTTTGCATGCACTAATGTCTAACTGTTGTCACTTTAACTGTACTACACACACTGCTGGAACTCCACGAGTGGAATTTAACTTCCATTTTTAATCATCTTCAAAAAATTATGCAAGTCTTATCCTAAGATCATTAAAGGCCCCCTCTCCACTTCAACCATTAAGACCATTTGTGTTTTTCTACAGTCATAAAGTTATGAGCTAGTGTAAAAACAAAGCACTTCTGATTTTATCAAAACACTTACTTCAATTAACTTGAATTAAGAAAAACGCTTAGTTCTGGCTATTCTGAATAACACCACAGGGGTAATCCTTTTCCCACCTACAGAAATGACTAAGTTACTCTTCAAGCGTCCTACACATTCCAACAAGGATGAAGGGGGAGATCAAAGAAGAGCCCTGAGAAACCTGAAACAAAGGCAGAGGTGAGAAAACAATAATGAACAAAAAAGAGGGCAAGAGTCAGCTATTTTGTCAACTTTATCTATCACAAGTTTTCTCTATTGAAAAACGTCAAGTGTTATTTATGAAACAACCTGAAACACCTGCTCCTTTATCCTGCCTGAAAACTATTTAGGAAATTGCATGAATTAAAAAATCAGGATGGGGCTGGGGATGTGGCTCAAGCGGTAGCGCGCTCGCCTGGCATGCGTGCGGCCCGGGTTCAATCCTCAGCACCACATACCAACAAAGATGTTGTGTTYGCCGAGAACTAAAAAATAAATATTAAAAATTATCTCTCTCTCTCTCTCTCCCCCCTCTCTCACTCTCTCTTTAAAAAAAGAAAAAAAAAAGAAAAAATCAGGATGACTACAGAAACAGGAAGGAAAGGAAAATGAGCAACATTCCCTAACTCTCGATCAATACCATCATTGCTAAACTAGCCTACGACCATTCACCGAACAAAATTAGAGAAGAAAATGCCCAGAGCAAGGTGCAAGAAATCCCTTTAAACAACAAAACATACAAACACATACACACACGTTTTTCTGTTTAGGTTATTTTGAAACTGCCCAGATGTCTATCAAAAACGTATGTTTGGGCTGGGGTTATAACTCGGTAGATAGAGCACTCACCTTGCATGTGTAAGGCACTGGGTTTGATCCTCAGCACCACATAAAAATAAAATAAAGTACTGTATCCACCTACTATAAAATTTTTTTTAAAAAAAAATGTATGTTTAAGGTGTGCATGATGGTGCACGCCTGAAATCCCAGCAGCTCAGGAGGCTGAGGCAGGAGATCAGCAAAAGTGAGGTGCTAAGGCAACTCTGTGTCTCTAAAAAATACAGGGCTGGAGATGTGGCTCATGGTGGAGTGCCCCTGAAATCAATCCCTGATACGCACCTCCCCTCAAAAAAAATGTATGTTTAGAAATACACTGAAGCCAGGCACAGTGGTGCATGCCTGTAATTGCAGCGGCTTGGGAGGCTGAGGCAGGAGTATCACGAGTTCAAAGCCAGCCTCAGAAACTTAGCAAGGACCTAAGCAATTTATCAAGACCCTGTCTCAAAACTTTAAAAGCAAAAAATTTAAAAAGGGGTCAGGGTGTGGCTCAGTGGTTAAGTGCCCCTGGGTTCAATCTCTGGTACTTCCCCCTCTCCCCCAAAAAAGTATGTTTAGAGCAGGGGATGTAGCACAGTGGCAGAGTAGTCCCCTAGCAAACCTAGGCTCTGGGCTCAAACCCCAGTACCATTAAAAAAAAAAAAAAAAGGTTTGGAAGGATTATGGGTGAATAGAGGCATCTTTTCAATGCCTCTTTTCAAGTTTCTATGAGCATATATTATTTTAAAATGTGTGTGTGCACATATGACAAATATCCATCTGAATAGTTCAATTCTAGGTAAAACTGTGAAGTCCTAAGTCATCCTTTCTCCTGTCTCCCTGTGTCACCTCTCCAGAGGGTCCTGCTCAGCCTTCAGGCAACCAGCCTTCACCTAGGCACATCAGAACCCATAGTCCTCAGCAGGAACTAAATGATGTCTGACCCCTCCCTGATTCAACCCACCGATCTTAATGTTCCAGGGCAATACTCATTCATCAAATCAAACTGGATAATGATTGGAACTATGGAATAACCACTCCCAACAAAACATGTTTTTATTTCAGCTAGAGTTTTGGCTTTTTTCCTGGAAACAAAGCCTTAATCTAAATGGCTTCAAGAGTATAAATTCCACTATGAATCAGCCTCCTTATATCAAAGAAAACATTCGGCATTTGKTTTTTTGGGACTGGCTAATTTCACTTAGCATTATCTTCTCTAACTCCATCCATTTACCTGCAAATGCTATGATTTTATTCTCTTTTATTGCTGAGTAATATTCCATTGTGTATATATGCTACATTTTTAATCCATTCATCTATTGAAGGGATAGGGAGCAGAAGCATGGGAGGAATAGACAAACTCTAGATAGGGCAGAGGAGTTGGAGGGAAAGGGAAGGGGCATGGGGTAATTAATGATGGTGGAATGTGATGATCATTACTATCCAAAGTACATGTATGAAGACACAAATTGGTGTGAATATGCTATGTATACAACCAGAGATATGAAAAATCGTGCTCTAAATATGTAATAAGAATCATAATGCATTCTACTGTCACATATAAATTTTTAAAATTTACATAAAAAATATGAATTCCAGTCATCCTTCAGAAAAGCATACATAAAATATAGGATATTTTGCCCCTCAAATCATACCCCAAATGACAAAATCTGTATCATTCTTTAATACCATTTTCCCCACACTAGGGCAGGGATTCAAGAACTACCTGATCAAAAAGAATGACAAATGTCAGCTACCCCATTTTGTAAGTAACCCTCCATTTATTTGCACACACCTAGATAGGGTAGCCTAGGCCAGTATAACTGAAAATCACTGCCTCTGCCTGTTTTTCTTTCTCCCTTTTCCTACCACCAGCATGAGGTTCCAGGAGTTATCTGCCCAGTCTCCTGAAGCCCTACATGACATAGGTCCTGATGGCATAGTTACAAATTCCCCTGACACAGTGATTGGGCCACAGGGTAAACATGTGACCCAAAGTGGGCCAATCAGAACTTCCCAAACTGGTGATGAAAGGATAGCTATCACCTCCTCAGTCTGAACTATATGGATGTAATCCTACCAGCAACCTAGCTCCCCACCTCATGGAGAAGCCTGGAGAGAGAGGATCCACACCATACACAGATTTTGAAATAAGAAGTGGTAAAGTCTTGGAGATTCTGGAGCCCCTGATCTAGTCAATACTGCCTTCCCCTTGGGTACAAGAAACAATAAATGGTGCTTTCCACCTTAAACACTTTTGTTTTTTTTTCTTTCTTTTTTTCTTTTCTTTTTTTTTTTTTCACCTTAAACACTTTTGATTTGGATTTCTGTGACTTGAAATCAAAAATACTGGACACAGGTCATTTTTAATATTCTTTTTTAAAAAACTGTGCTCAGCAACTTAGCAAGACCCTAAGCACATAGCAAGGCCCTGTCTCAAAATTAAAAATTAAAAAAAAAATAGCTGGAGATATAGTTCAGTGGTTAAGTGAATCTGGGTTAAATCTCCAGTACCAAAAAAAAAAAAAAAAATGTGTGTGTGTATAATAAAGGACAAAAACACTGAGTTTATTTCTTCCGTAATGTACAAAACAAATAACCAAATTCAGATGGTCTCTCTATTCACCCACCATTAATCAATTACCTTGCATCCATAAAATCCTCAGACAAAAAATATAAATATTATTATTTTCATTTCCCTAATTACTTCTGTAGGGGGAGTCTGTCCTAAATCATACCTAAGAATACAACAGTACTCGTAAGTCAAAAGTAAAACGGTTCTCTATCTGTAAGATACTGGGGAAAATTTTTTTAATGAAGAATATAAAAATAATATAGCAGCTCCTAAATTAGGCACCGGTCATATATTAAGAATTTATTTTGGGCTGGGGATGTGGCTCAAGCGGTAGCGCGCTCGCCTGGCATGCGTGCRSCCCRGGTTCRATCCTCAGCACCACATACCAACAAAGATGTTGTGTCTGCCGAGAACTAAAAAATAAATATTAAAAATTTTCTCTCTCTCTCTCTCTCTCTCCTCTCTCACTCTCTCTTTAAAAAAAAAAAAAAAAAAGAATTTATTTTGAGCTGGATGCGGTGGGTGGCACACACCAGTAGCTCAGGAGGCTGAGGCACAGGATCTTAAGTTCAAAGCCAGCCTCGTAGCAACTTAGCAAGGCCCTAAGCAACTCAGTGAGACCCTGTCTCTAAACAAAAATATAAAAAAGGGCTAGGATGTAGCTCAGTGGTTAAGCCCGCAGGGTTCATCCCCAGTACAAAAAAAAAAAAGAGAGAGAGAGATAATTTATTTTGAAAATCTCCTATAGTTTTAAGTTACATGGCTTTCTAAACKAAAAATATCATATAGACCCATAACAGTACAACAGAATCATCAATCATCATACGTGTAGTATGTTCCTCTCCATGATGCAATTACTTCCAAGCAAAAGAATTCCTTTTATGTAAAATTAAGAAACAGAGGAGCTAGGGTTGTGGCTCAGTGATAGCGTGCTTGCCTAGCATGCGTGAGGCATGCTCAGTACCACATACAAATAAATAAAATAAAGGTTCACCAACAACTAAAATATATATATATATATATATTTTTTTTTTTTTTTTTTTAAAGAAAGAAACAGGGATGTGAGCCAGGTGTGGTGGAACCCATCTGTAATCCCAACAACTCAGGAGGCTGAGGGAGGAAGATCACAAGTTCAAAACCAGTCTCAACAACTTAGCAAGACCATGTCTCAAAAAAAAAAAAAAAAAAAAAAGGCTGGATGTGGCTCACTGGTTAAGTGCCCCTGGATTCAATCCCTGGTACCAAAATAAATAAATAAAGTATATGGGAGGAAGTGTTAGGTTAGGTGCAAATACTGTACTATTTTATAAAAGGGATTCAAGCAGCCACAGATTTTTGGTATCTTCTGGGGTTCTGGAACCAAACTCCTACAGATACCAAAGGTTGACTATTTACAGGAAAAAATAAAACATCTGAATACCAAAAACAAAATGCATAATTTTAAGAGTCAAAGGCTTAATGCTACTAGTTTTTCCTAAAAGCAATAGTGTAAAAGGACATCTTAATTTAAAGCATAAACTGAAGAGTAAGTGCTATTTACCTAGTCTTATATACTGGGCTCGTTCATGGAGTTGATCCACTAGTGCTTTCATCTGCTCATAGTTCTCCTAAAAGAGAAACAGAGGAGGAGGGCAGGAACATTAGAAAACAACTGTTTACCAAAATAAGGGTTAACACATCAACCTGTCCCACCTCTGTGTGAACTCCACTAGGGGCCACCCACCCCCGCAATTTGGTCTCCACTTGAGTCATCCCATGGAAAAGATTAATTGCTGCCCATTTCTGTTCAGCTCTTCTTCATGGCCACCACCCTGCAGGGCCATCTCTCTAAACCTTCTCTTCTGAAGCCTAACTCATCTTTCTCAATTCTAACCCTACTGCTGGTTACTCCTACTCATTTGAATGTCCTTCTTCCTTAAATATCTACTGAAATTAACTGATTTTTGTTTTTCTGTTTTTAAGAAATATAAAGGAACATAAGCTTCCTCCCTTCCCCATCCAACTGGGTACTGAACCCAGGGGCTCTCTACTACTGAACTATATCCTCGGCCTCTTTTTTTGAGACCTTGTTTCACTAAATTGCCTAGGCTGGCCTTGAATTTGTGATCCCATGTCAGTCTCCCAAGTTGCTAGGAATATAGACATGTACCACAGCCAGCACCCAGTTTATTTCCTGTTTTCAGGGGCTGTGAGAGTTCCTGAGGTCATAGTTTCTTCTACAATCTCTTGTATTGCAAAATCCAGTAAATAAAAAAAGCAAAGCAGCATGAAGTTAGGGAAAAGACCCTGTGCCTGGATAGGAAGGTCCCAGATCCTGACCTCTGTGAGCCTAGTGCACTACTTCCCATCTAATGCCACCTAGCCCCACATCGTAGGGAAAAGAGCCTGCTGGAAATCCAGCTCAAAGAGATGCCTAGAACAATGTTCCCCTCTCTTGACTCTACCATGAATTTACCAGGGAACTTTAAAAAAATAATAATTCCTGGTCCTATCTTCAGTCTGAGGTCCCTGGCTGCAGGTGTAGCCTAGGCAATAGGAACTTTAAAAGCTCCTCAGGTGATTCTAACCTATGACAAAGAGAAACAGGGGCCTAAAATCTCCACTTCTGAGGGCCCACTCGGGGCAAACAGAACCTACCAAAGATGAGGAGGTGGTAAGAGACAAAGATGCCTTCTTTCTGCAGGAACTTTTCCAGATTGCAATGGTTATTTGTTGATACCAACAAAAGGCAGGGGAAGTCAAGAACTCCTATTATTATTACACCCAGGAGATGAGATCACTTTTCACATATAGCAAACACAGAAACTCAGTTTATGAACTGCCTCTGAAATAAAGCTCCAGTGCCAGGACATGTCTGTTCAGTGAGTCACCAAGAGGTGGCATTATAGCAGTGTGAATGTCACTTGATTTGCATGAAAAAACTAGGAGCTGTTTTTCAGAACCTCTGAAACAAGTCTCCTAGGTAGAAACTATTCCTTGTAAGCAAGGGCTGTGTCCTGAACGTGGACATCTGAGAGTGCCCTAACAGAAGGACAAGACAGTGTTTAAGGATTTCCTCATGTAGCATAAACCAAAGTGGCAGAGAAGGGCTCTGTGAAACAGCAGCCACCTCCATGTCGTTCACCAAGTGACCTCTTTGGGACTTTCGGCCTAACCCTGGGCTACAGCCACCTTGCCATGGTTCAAGAACAGGTGCGGACTCTGACCTATTCTGATTGATATAATGTTTCTAATTAGAAAGGAAAGTAGATTCTTTTTCACTGCCTAGGAAACCAATATTGTTTGGGTTTGTTTTGTGCTTACAGGTCCTCCTCTTGTCATTCATTGCTACACTGATTCCAGTATTAAAAACCCAACTAGTTAAGTGTCTAAATGTTTGGGGCTGGGGATGCAGCTCAATGGTAGAGTGCACTATAAAGAAAAAGGGGAGATTATATTAGATATATATATATCTCATATCTAAGTGTTTCCAAAACCTTGAATCTTAAGGATCCTAAACTAAAAGTGTGGATTGGGTGGAGGGGGGACGGCCACGACTATATTTGCTCCAGTTCAGTCCTGCTTGCTCAACAATTCAACAATACTAGCAAAGGACTAAACAGTGTTGCATTAGGGCAAATTACAGAATCAAGGGCATCACCGACAGTTTCAGCTCCCCTGGGATTTGTTGTTATTGTCATGAACTTTCTTTATAGAAATCTTCAGAAATATATAAAAGTAAAACAACTAGTATAATGAACCAAATGTACCCAAATGTACTTCAATGATTATCCCAATATGGCCAAAGTTGTTTTCTTCATGCCCCACCCTGAAATATTTTGAAGAAAATTCTAGACATAACACTTCATTTATAAGCATTTCTGTATCTCCAAAAGATAAGGACCATCATCACATATCAATCTGTTAGTATCATCAAATATCCAATCAGTGAAGACATTTCCCAACTGTCAGATTTGTTTTTTTTATAGTTTATTTAAATAAGATTCTACCTGGTAAGCTCTATACAGTCATAATTAGCCAATGTGTTTCTTGAGTCTTTTCTAACAGAAGTTCTCCCATCTTTTTTTTCCTAAAATGTTCTGTTGTCCTACCGGTGTTTCCCACAGTTCTAAATACATCCCCATAATGTCCTTTAACAAGTTCTTCCTCTATAGACCCTGAAGCTGATGAGATTCTGGAATATCTTCAGTTTTTTCATTTTTACCCCATCCTATCAAGATAAAGCTGACCTTCTTCCACCTGTATTCTACCTCCTGGTCTCCTGCCATCTTTGCACACCACAAGCACCAAAGTTAAGAGCTGATTAAAAAAAAAAAAATAGCTTATATACAAACAGAGAAACCAAGGGACCCTTTGAGAGTATCCAAGGTCCAAGGTCCAATCACTGCAGCCAACAACAATACCCCATTAAGAAAAGCATCCAGGCTGGGGATGTGGCTCAAGTGGTAGCGCGCTCGCCTGGCATGCGTGCGACCGGGGTTCGATCCTCAGCACCACATACCAAAAAAGATGTTGTGTCCACCGAGAACTAAAAAATAAATATTAAAAACAATTCTCTCTCTCTCTCTCTC